TCTATTCTATATACACATGTGGTGCACACACGGAGAGGATTCGTTCGATCAGTGAGATTGGTCAAGGACGGACCCACAGATCCTTTTCTTCCTCTCTCTCGTCCGTTGTTTATCGGTGTCCATCCACTTTTTTTTTGGCTCTCTGCTCTCTCGCGTTCAGCTCTCTCTCTCTCGGTGTCTGATCTGCTCTCTCTTTCTCTCTGCTCACTCCCCTCTTTCTCAGATCTTCATCTCACCTCGTTTCTCGTTTTTCTCGCTGATCCCCAATAAACCAAGCGAGCCTCGATCCCCATTTCCATTCACCGGTAAGATGCATGCCCCTCGTGAAGATTTCTCCTTTTCTCGCAGACACGGAGACCATCGATCGGGCCTTTTCTGCCGACGGAACTGACCGTAGGAAGGAGTGATAGGCTTCCTGGAAGGAGAGCCTCACAGTTTGGAAAATATTTGTCTAAGATTTAATAGATTGATCGATTGATACCCAATCACTATCAAAGGATTTGATTTCATCAGAACGCATGTGATCTGAATAAGTCTGCGAAAAACGATTGATGTTTTCATTTGACAAAAAAAACGATGATGAAAACATGTCTTTTCTTGATGATGCTCATTGAAATGATTCGAGTAGTTAACTGCAATGCCATTGAAAATCAAAGTAATTGAGTTGAACAATGAAACTATTTCTTTCGAGATTCTATTTAGAAATATCTTCGAATGAGTTGCATCAATGTACTGATTATTTAATAGATAATCAGCAAAACAAATTTATGGAAATAACTAATGAAAAGATTTGCACTGAAAAGAATTCTTCAAAATGGATTTCATTTATTGATAATAATGACAAACACATATTGAGATTATTAAAAAATCTTAGTCAATGTGATGAACATCTTCAAGGTTTCTGTTTAGGTCCAACACCAATGCATCCTTATGAAACCGTGAAGGGAAAATTGTGTTTTGACAATGCAACAAATCTTGTTTTTTATCAAGTGATGTGATGATTACTAATTGTGTTTATTTTTATCTTTACCATATGGAAAAGGAAATTTTGTGTAATCCAGTTAATTGTATAGATCAATTGAATTATCGAAGAAAATTCTTCTCATTGGAAGAATCAAAACAAAGTAATTCGAATAGTTTTGACTCAGATAATAACTCTTGGAAAATGACTGTAAAAGAAAAGATTTGTTCAAATAAAGGGGAAAGTAATGATTATGTGATTTATTGTTTATCTGCTGATGATGATTCTGCTATTGGTGATGTGATGCCTTATTTTGATTGTGATTGAAAACAAAGAATTTTTATTCTTATCAATTAATAAATCAAGAATTATTAAGTAGTAGTTCGGATGAATGTTCACAGGATTATGCCATAGAAACAGGTTCAATAATTAAAAAAGATGGAAAATATTATGCTTTTTATACGGGTCATAATCCAAATTTTCCTTCATCTTTTGTAAAAACGAAAGAAAGAATAATGTTATCAACTTCATCTAGTTTAGAAGAGAAATTTTCTAAAGATTTCAATTTCCAAACAATCTATGCTCCAGTTGGTGAAGGTTTTGATGAAGAAGATAATTTTCGTGATCCATTTGTTTATTATGATTCATTCTCTAAAGAATATCTTTTAATAATATCTGCCCGAACATCACGTGGTGTTCTTATTTATTATCGATCAATTGATTTATATCATTGGAAATACGAAGGAATTCTTTATGATGGAGATTCAACTGTATTTTATATGATGGAAACAGCAGATTTATTTCTGATTGATAGAACTTATTATTTATTATTTTCTGATATTGATTCCAAAAATGTTTATTATAGAAAAAGTTCTTCATTAACTGGACCTTGAAATAAACCTGAAGAATATTCAGATCGATTAGATGGAAATGGATTTTATGGAGGCAAAGTTATTCTGGACAATTTTGGTGATCATTATATATTTGGATGGATCAATCGTTATGAAAACAACAATGATCAAGGTAATTGTGGGACGGAAATTTAATTATACATAAATTATACCAATTAAATTCAGGCAAAGATCTTGCTGGTACTATTCCACATACAATCAAATCTTATATGGACAAATCTTCTCAACCAATTGTCAAACATAGTCAATGGGGAATTGTAGAAAATATTAATGGAAATAATTCATCATATTATTTATCAAGTTTATTCGATGGTGAAATAAATAATTTTCTCTTTGAACCAATTCATTTGTCGAGATTTAAAATAAGTTTAACTATCTCATATAAACGTTCATTAAAAGATTTTGGATTAATGATTGGCGCATGTGATGGTTATAATCAGTTTATGAGTTTACGTTTTCTTCCTTCTTAAAATCGATTTAGTTTTGATCAAACTAATCGTTCTCATTTAACAACAACAAGTATTTCAGCAAGTGATGTTCCATTGAAAATTCTTCCTAATACTGATTATAAACTTGAAAGTGTTTGTGAGAATTCTATTATAATTACTTATATAAATGATCAAGTGGCTTTAACAACAAGAATTTATCGATCGATCGAAAATTATTGGGGGATATTTGCCGATAATTCCGATGTATTTTTCCAAGATATTCGTATTACTCGACCTTAATTTCTTCCGATGATTTATCATATCAACGAATTCATTTTTGATCTTTCTCATCAATCATTCACATTGAAAAAACAATTTCTACTTAGGGCATACCAACAGTAGTGATACTGGCACCTTCTTACTCTAAAGTAGGCTTCAAGAGATTTTCTTTCTATACAGTCTAAAGAAACTGTTTTTGTTGACACCTAGCCAGTTGTTTGAGGTCCTCACGTGTGGAGTATTTTCTACTCTATTTTATTATATCATTAAAGATTTCCTACCGAAAAACCGAAAGATACCACAGAATGCACCCTGAAGAGCTCTACAACTTATAAATGGCCACTTACTGTATAGTTGTACTTTGTTGTATTCGAAATGAGCAAAACTCTGAGCGACCAATTTTCGACGTTGCGAAAAGAGGCTTTCACTTTTTTTAGTTGTCCTTTGCGAATTGTAGAGCTTCTCACGATACGTCTCGCAGTGTATTTTGTTTGTTTAATATATATACCAAGTAATGAGAAAATAACATGGGAAAAAACCGAACACAAACAAAGTACAACTATACAGCAAGTGGCCATTTATAAGTTATAGAGCTCTTCAGGGTGCATTCTGTAGTATCTTTCGGTTTTTCGGTAGGAAATCTTTAATGATATAATAAAACCAAGTAGAAAATACTCCACACGTGAGGGCCTCAAACAACTGGCTAGGTGTCAACAAAAACAGTTTCTCTCAAAATTTTATTACTATGATATTATATGAATAGTGATCAAACAGCATAGAAAAATAGAGCTTCTTTTTCTCTGTCAGAGTGTATAGAAAGAAAATATCTTGAAGCCTGCTTTAGAGTAAGAGGGTACCAGTGTCACTATTGTGTGATATGCTCTAAGTATCATTGAGCTGTTTATTCATTTACAATGGATTTGAATTCTTTTTCGAAAAAGATTTTTATCTTAGAAAATCTTTTTAAAATAAACAAAATTTTGATAAAAACCGTTTTGAATTAATTAATGAAAAGCCTCTTTAAGAATAAATAATTATTCAATTAAAAATGGATCAGAATTTGTTCAGAATGTGTTTAGTTTGCGTGGAATCTATATGTATAAAGAAGAAAGCTTGTCAGTTTGTCTGTTCTTCATGCATTTTCTTAGCATCGAAGCACTCTTGGATCCCGGAACAGGTCACCGACTACTTTTTAGCCGAAAAAATTTCATCCAAGGACCGCGAATAGTCGAACTACGTATCTGACCAGCCAAAATACAGCGTTTTGGATTATCATAGGTCTAATGAGCAGGAGGTTCTGATCATGATCAGGTAGAAGACGTGTAATCAAAGGTTTTTCAGGGTGACAAGCTTGAATCTGAAGTCCATTTGCCTTGAAATAAAAGGAGCAAATGAGGACACGTAAATTTTCAGGAAAACCGAATGGATGGAGATTTTGAGATTTCGTGAATCCAAATGTGGTATCGACATGAGTCGATAGGGTGTACAGTGCTCAGAAACAAACACTGCGTCTGAGAAAGCCGATAATAGCAGATAATTGAACACAGGATACAGAAAATTAGAAATTCATCAAAGTGAATATTTTGCTGGATCATTCATATATCGACTGAGTACATCGTGTGAAGGGGAGGGGGTGACCAGAGTGTTGGTATCACATTGCAGTTCTGCTCTATGACACATTGGAAATTTACCACGTGGACGAGTCATACATCGTCATTGAAATTCCACTCACACATCATCTGATAAGTCTATTGAATCATCCCAGAGTGTTATATGAGCATATACAAAGTGTTGCTTTTCCGTTACTTTTCATACTAATACTCATAATCGCCACAGTGATATTTCATCTCTTTTCAATTGTAATAATAAACCAAACTATCTCGAACAAGTAAGTGATTGAAATTTACTGATCCCTAAGATATTCTGGATTGTCCATTGGCTGTTAGATTTTGAAAGTAACTTTCGTGAAACGAACAGCCAAACTCTCTTTGAAAGGATCAGTAATAGGACCTGCTTCGGTTGGAAAAAACTGCATAGTGCCACCGAAACAAAGATCCTTGGTCGGAAGAAGTACATCCGCTGCGCGCAGAATGCTTGCTTCCAGAGCAGAAGAGACCGCAGAACAAAGACAAGACCGATAACGAGAAGATCGAGCACGATGCGCAGCTTCCA